TTACTGTTATCCTCATACCGTTAAAAAGGGAGGTATAAGACATTACCCCTTCTCTCATGAAAGGTGTAATATTGGGAAAGGTATACAAAATTATTAGACTATGTAGATAAGAAGGGATTACTATTATTCATGTCAAGTGTATGGGATGCACAGTAAGAACTACAGGTCAAGAAATTTGGTTTCAATTAAGAAAAATGTTAATGGAGATAATTTTCATGGAAATATAATAATGAAAATGATGGAATAGTTTTGAGATTCCAAACCATTTTTGAGCGCTTATCATGTCCCAGATACCAAACTACATATGTTAACAAAATCATTATAATTTTTTTTTTTTTGGTGGTGCTAGGGATTGAACCCAGAACCTTGTGCATGCAAGGCCAGCACTCTACCAAATGAGCTATATCCTCAGACAAAATCATTATAATTTAACTGAAAAAGAACTTGGAGGGCTGGGGTTGTGGCTCAGTGGTAGAGCGCTTGCTTAGAATGTGTGAGGCACTAGGTTTGATTCTCAGTACTGCATGTAAATAAATAAATAAAGGTCCGCCAACAACTAATGAAAATATTTTTTAAAAATTGGAAAAAATGTATGCAGTTGCTGCACGATGGTTTGGGGATCATGGGAGATTTTATTTCTTCTAAATTTTTTCTTTATTAATATTATGTATGCAGTAAATAAGGAAGAAAAGAATTTTTAAGGTTTAGGCATATAGGTAATGCAATGTTTTATAATTAGAGAAGATGTTATGTACGAAAACATGTTAGTTGGAATTAATACCATGTTCTATGGAAACTGAGGAATTAGTGCTAGGAAGGAATGAAAAGTAAAGTAGAAAAGAAGGATAATCATAATGAACATTGAGTGTCTCAGAGAAGAGTTTATATTTAATTAAATCTACAATAAGAAAACCATTAAAATTTCTGAGAAATAAAGTATAATAGAAAGACAGCGTTTAGAAATATTGCTCTTATTGCATTTTACAGGAAGGAGCTGAGCAGAGAAAGGGCTTAGTCCTTGGAGGTGCACAAATACGTGACTGCTTATAAATGACATGCTTGCTTTAGAATTTCAGCAGAAGACATAGTGTCTGAACACAGATCTGTATGTCTCTCCAAAATCCATGATTCTTCTGCTTCTTCATGCAGCCTATCATAAGTGCTTGGAACAGCAATAACTTTAAATTCTACTCCACTGCTTCTCAAACGTCTCCAGAAAAGTGTACCTAAGAATCAGGGGCACAATTCTAGGAGGTCTACCTGCAAACCAAACTTTCAGTGAAGAGCAGATTTTTATCTTTACATGTCAAGCAACACTTCTGTTTTCTTATATTACAGATTCCTATTTGCTGCAATATGAAATTAATATTTAAAATTTCATCAAGTAAATTTTTTAAATTGGATTTTGATAATTTTTTAATACCTTTATATTATTTATTTTTATGTGGTGCTGAGGATTGAACCCAGGGCCTCCCATGTGCTAGGCAAGTGCTCTACTGCTGAGCCACAACCTTAGCCCCATCAAGTAAATTAATAAGTATATTCTATTCCAATCATACATGAAGTAAGAAAGCTCTTCTCCTGCTCTTCCAAATAAGTGATAGCTATCCTCCTGTAAATCCCCACAGAGAATATTCACAATCTTCTAGATCATATGTTTCTATGATACTAAGAAAGTTATTCCATATCATTTAGATATAATCCTTTAAAAAATTCCAACTTTTAATTGAATTCTTAAGGGGAAGTAGAGAGTATGGATGTGGAAGGAAGTGCTAACATCTGAAATAATCCATATGACTTCCTACTCAGAATATCTCCCCCCCCCCAAGTTAAGAAGACTTAGTTCTAGGGAGAAGGTGAAAGAGGAATGGAAAAAAGAGGTAGACCAAGAACTACACCAAAGACACAGAATAGAGTATTTGGTAACAAGATAATTCATAAGAGGAGAAGGTGAAATTCAACAAATCATGTTATATATATGTATGAATGTGTTACAATGAATCCATAATTATATATAATTATAATGCACCAATAAAAAAATGTTAAAAAAAAGGTGATGGTGATGGAGTATCCATGACTCCTAGTTTGGATGACTGGGAGAAACTTCAGTAATGTCATTAACAGAAATAAAAAAGTTCAGATGTTTGCTGAGAAGAAAAAGGGAATTCAATTTCACTTATACTGCACTTCAAGCAGTAACAGTCAGATGGAAATGTCCCAAGAAATATATTTGGAGTCATCACTGAAAAGTTGGACCTTTAAAGAAGAATGTCGTTTCCAGGGAAGCAAGAGAGCATGAGTAGAGAGGAGCTCCTGGAGAGCTGGCTCTGAATCAGTGGAACCACAGGGAAAAGCAGCAGGTGTGTGGCCTGCAGGGAAAATAGTTTTCAAGAGAAGCAAGTCACAAGGGGTGTAAAATCTGGCACAAAAGACAAAGTGAATAGAGGCAGGGAAAACGCCATGATTTGAGAAAGGAAAATATCATTGCTAACTTTAAGGATGGTGGTTCTAATATTGTAACAGGAATAAAAGTAAGATGAAAGAATTTAGGAAAAATGGTGGTGAGCAATTGATGTGCTGATAGAAACTATGAGCATTTAGAGAAAATTCTGCGAATCAATAGCCATCCGTGTTTTGTAATAATTGCCTTCTTTTTAAATGCAATGCAATTTGCAACAATTATTCAGAAGCATTGAATAAAAGGTATTAGTAGTGACCATATTGCTGCAATCACATTATGTCAGCAATAAAAAAAAAAAAAGTAAATCTAAAGACTAAACAGAAACTTTGGACATCCATAGTTTTCTGAGGAAGGTCCACAATCGTCTCGGTACTTAAAACAATAAACTTTCTATCTTGGTGCTGTTTCAACTGAAAAAGAAAATGGAAATTTGAACCAGACAACCTCATTTGGCTCTTTCCAGCACAAAGAATGATTCTGAATTTATCTATATCTAAGTCAAAACACACATATACACATACTAGCAAAGTCCCTGGTAAGAACTTTTATTGGTGATGCATTCTAATTTTAGGTACTCTAGGAAAATAGCAAACATCAGTGTTATACCAAATGCTTCATAATGCAGCATGTGTTTGTTATTCAGTCTATTGAAGTTGTGTATGTGTTTTTTGGTGAATCTCAGAATCTAGTACTATCTTTCATACAGTGTGCCATAATGGTGACTTGTGTGTGCCTATACATGAACAGGCCAATTTATCTTTCATATTGACTAATGAATCTGTTGAGGGCCAGTCACTTTAATATACTAATAATACTCAATTTAAATAATATCTTGGAATTGTGAGACAACATTTCACCTTCACCATGCCTCTTTCTTCTTTTCAGTACTGGGAATTGAACCCAAGGCCTCATGAATGCTAAACAGGCACTCCACCACTAAGCTACATCTCCAGGCCTTAGCAAGCTAAATTACCCAGATTGGCCTTGAACTTTCAGTCCTCTTGCCTCATTCTCTCAAGTAGCCAATATTAGAGGCATGCTCCACTGCTCCTGGCCTTCTACTGTGCCTCTTTAACTAACTTAAATGATTCCTTCCAACAACAACAAAAAAAATGCCTTTTCTGTTATTGGTTTATGTTGAAATACAAGCATTAGTCAAACTTGTTTGAACAGAAAAGTCCAAAACAGCAACATAATTCCAGTAAAAAGAAAAATTATGGCCAAGCTCAAAAAAGTCAGTAATCTACAAGGAACCTGGAAGGATTACTATTGCATTAGCAGGGAAATTTTTGGGAGCATAGCTTCTTCAGAGGCTAATGAAAGGTGGGCCCACTGCAATATCTCAACTGAAGAAAAATTGCCGTCATTTTGCCTTTTTTGTTTTGCTTTTAATCATTCACTGGTTTTAAAAGATATGTCTTCTTTTATAAAGGTATGTATCTTCTCATGGGTGTTAGGAAGAAAATATACAACACACACATGGGCTCATGATGCTGAATTTAACAAGAAAACTGAATAGAGAGCTAAATCAGAATCCTTGGAAATATAAACATCTCCTCATCATTAAAATATTCAGGAAGAGAGCTTAATCTGCACCAAAATAATAAAGTAACCATGTAATTGTATTTATAAAATAAGCTGTCTCAATCTATGTTATAGAAAAATACCATCCATTAATTATTTACCTTGGAACATTTTCAAGGTTTTCATAGCTCTTTTAAAATTCCCATACAATATCTAGGTCAATCAGGTAAAATTCTTCAAATATTATATGTAAAATAGTTTTTCTTCTGAAAAACTATTCTTATTTGTTTGCAGAATTCAAACAACTTTAGCTGCTTGAAATCCTGAAACACTTTTGTGCTTTTCAAAATTCACATTTCATAAAGGGCATCTATTCTATAAAGTTTACTGAATAATAAATATAACTTTAAGTGATGCAAACTGTCAAAATCCTTGAATGTCAGAGTTAAAGCTGATAGCTCTTCATGATATTCATGATATGTATTTTTTTTCCTGCTTTGGAAAAGGTAAAAAAAAAAAAAAAAAGAAGAAGAAGAAGAAGAACAGAATAAGAATGATTTAAGTAAAGGCAATCTCACATTTGAATTTCTTCATTTTTGTATATTTGTCATAAATAACAATTTAAATATCCTCTGAGGTTAATATTTTCCGGTTCAATGTGAAATTATAGGAAAAGTTAATATATGCATACATTCTATGAGGCAACAGAGACTGAAGCATCTTATTTGTAGCAAATTTTATTTTCAAATAACCATAAAAGGTATCCAGTTACTCCTCAGATTAATTTATAAGATCATGCAAGATGTAAATAGAAAGTTCCAAAGGAAAGAAACATTCCTGATGATTCTAATATGAGAGGGAAAAGCACACAGAATTGCACACCAGGAACTTTCTACATATGGCTAATACTTGGATCCTTATTCTTGCCTGATTTTTGTCATTTCAGCACAAGATAAAATGTAATGCAAAGAGGCAAAAATTAATAATCCAAGAAAAGAGAAACTTGCCAAAGTGATACATAACATGGAGGATTAACTTTATTAATATTGACAGAGAAATGTTGAAAGAGAAACGTATCTATTTGCAACAGTTAAAAAGAAAATGAGTTGTGGCAAGAATATTGTTACTTATATCATATTCAGAGACTTTTCCTTGAGTATCATGCACAGTTCTGAACTTCTAAAAAAAAATCTTTTTTGCTATAGAACCAGGTAAAATGAAATAGATATCTTCCCAGAAATTATTCAAAATAACATATTAGCTTAAATTTTTAAATTATTTTGAAAATAAGAAAAATCATAATGTTATTCTGAAAAAAAAATGCTATAAGGACAAGTAGGTATGACTTTTAAAATGCTTTAAATCAATAGCAAACCATAAAGAACGTAACTTTATATTTTGACGTTGTCTATAAAGCAAAGTATTGTGCATCAGAGGGGCTTCTTTTAATTACAATATTCTGAATTAATTCCCCTTTAGAAAAATAGAAAATTGATCCACAGGCCAATTCAGAGTTTATCTACATGCTCAGTGCATATGCTTTGAGTATTTACAGTGCATTTCTTCAATTTGAGCTGAGTCCAAGTATCCTTATTTTCCCCTGATGTCTAAAGACCACAAGATGTAACAGGTATTGAATCACCTGGAAAGCACACAATCTTTCTTCCAGTAAAGCTAACTTTGTTTATAACATAGTTAAAAATTAAACAGCAGAACTCCATAGAAAATTAGATGTTCATATTTATCTTTCATAACAACAATATTATCCCCAAAATTCTCTTTAAGAACCTAGAATGTCATGACTCCAGATTTCAATTTCAGAACTTCCCATTTCTAACACTTTCCATCACAATGCCCTTTGCAGGCAACTACAATAGAAAATGAGATGAGGTTTTTATATCTCTAATAAAAAAAATTTTGACTCCAAAGAATATACATCAGATTTCACTGGGATTTTGTTCAATAAAGCTATTTAGGTTTTAGGTGATGAAAAGCCTCCAAAATTTTAAGGATATTCGCTTTGGTTTCTTTATTATGAAGTTTTATTCTTATTTGAGGTATCAAAAACCTATATATTTTTTAAGTCAGCATTAAAATGACTGTTTAACCAAAGGTCACAGACACCAATTCTGAATAAAGCTTTTGGTGCCCAAGATCAATTTACCAGAAGTTAGACTAACCCACGAATTGGGGAGGTAGAAGCCGTAAAAACTTGGTACCCTGTCCCCATCAAAGAAGCCCACATTCTCCCATTCCATGCTAAACAATTAGTTGGCATTTGCAATTGCCCAGCCCCAAAGACTGCTGAGCATCATGGGAAAGCATGATACAACTCCCAACTCAGCATCACATGCTCTTTTCTTTTCCCACTCACATAATTAGTGCTCCTTTCCTTCGCTTTTAAAAATGTGCCTGTTTCAAATTTGTATTATTTTTTTCAGATGTCTAATTTCAGTTACGTTCTTTCCCTCTTTGGTCTCTTCCCGAATTTCACATTCCAGACAAATATTTAAAGGTCTGTAAAACCAGGCAAGTTTCCAAAATATTTCTAAATGAAACTGCTATAGGTGACAGAGCAGGGAAAGAAGGCAAAGCTTATAGGACAAAATTTTGAATAAACTGGCTGAAAATGTGTTGGGAAATCTATCTAGGTTGCTAGAGCCATGGGTGAGGTTTCAATGAGGCATAAACATTCAAGTTGCTGACAAAACCAACATGTTTCATGATCACTCAAAATAGTCTGCTTGTCACGGTGCATTGCTTTATTATTATTATTAATAGTAGTAGTAGTAGTAGTAGTAAGTCACTGTTTCTCTTAAATTATTTTCTTTTTTAGTATTCAGGAAGTGAAAGCATTTAAGAAAACATTCAAAATTCTGAGAATATATGTAAGTGAAATATTTAATGTCTGTTTTTCATAAAAAGTTACATCATTTACATAGGGTTCATTTGTATATAATAAAAATTTCATCATAATGAAAAATTTTCTGGAAAGTATTTTATATGTTAATTTGTTTAACATATGCTTTGGATTTACAACTAAATAGGAATAGTTTAAAAAATTCTTTCTTCAAATACTCCCTTTAACAATTAAAAAAACCTCGTTTCTAAATATTTGTTTTACTTCCCACTTGCTCCTTTGTTTTGTAATAGCATAAGTATCTTGAACTATGCAAAGACTGGATCTTTTCATAGTTCAGAACATATTGTACACTTCAATAAATCTGCTCATTGCATAGCAAACACGTAAACTCATAGAGAATCTATAAATTTTACCCTAAAAAAGTTGAAATTTTACACAATAATTTATACTGAGTTTTATTTATGTTGTAACTTGGGTTTGCTTTTTTATTTTTAATACATGTGTCAGTAGAATACAACAAATGAAAATAAGTCATGAAAAAATAAAGAAAAAAAAGCAAGTAAGTAATTTTACCCTAGACTACCAGAATTAAACTTCATTAAATTGTTTGGATTTTTTCCTAACTATAACAAGTTGTGAATGTACTGTGCTGCCTCCTTAAGACAGTGTTCAAAATTAATTTCAACAGTGTGTGTTTAATATAAAGTTAACTATGTTTGCATCAAATAAAATGTTTATTAATGAAAGCTATTTATCATACAAGAAACAGCAAAGATAAGTCATCATTACAGAGATGTACACTAGAGGTGACAGATGTAAAAGTGCATGCAGAGACTTCTGTTTAAAAAGGAAGTAATAAACAATAATACTAAAATTACTGGGGTTTGATCCCTATACTCTTAAATGAGTGATAGCTTTTCTTTGAATTTACAATTGGAAAAATGCCATTAACAGATAGGACTAATACACATTAGCAAGCAGGAGAAATGAATGTTTTTGGACTTTATTTTACAGTTATTGTTGCTTGACAAATGTGTGGGAATTTTTTCAATAATAATTTTCTTCAAATATGGGGTGGGCATATTACTGCCAGGTTGCTCTGGTTAATACAGGTTTATCTAGTGTTTTTAAACCACATAATTTTAAGCCTTCATTTGTGTTAGACATCATAAAGAACAGAAGTTTTGTTAACATTCAATAAATGACATTTATGTCTCACTCTCTCTCTCTCTCTCTTTTTTTTTGGCTCAATAAGTTTTTAAATGTATGATTATCATAACCTAATAGTGTCTTTGTCTTCACTGCAGTGGATTTCCGATCAAACTTTTCCCCTTCTTTTAATACTTTAGGGAATTTTCAAACGTCGGGATGTTTGGCTGTAATGCCCCAAGATTTGTTCTCCCTGAAAAAAATCATAGTGACAATTTATTAACTACAGAGCAACTTGGCTTTTAGGGGTCTGCAATTTCTATTTAGATTTACAAATATCCATTTGTGCTCAATAGACCTAACATTAAATCTTAATCATATTTAAGGTTTCTTTTCATGCAATTACTTTATCTGCTAATTTTTTTATTCTGAAAATTGGACTGAGTTAAATCCGTGGGGCATTACTTGTATTATAAGCACATATATTTAAAGGTACTTCAAGATTGATTTACACTGCATATGCAATGGTGTGTGCATTTAATATGAATCAGAAGTTTGAAAATTTAAAAACTGGTTGTATGTTTGAATATTTTAAAAATTTTCCACTACCATTTTAATGCCTTTTACATAAAGATATTGAAAACACACTAGAACAGGTAAACTTAAATAAAACTTATGGGAAATAAAACTCCTTAGATTCAAAATGGTTTATTCACACAAATTTAATAGGATATATCACAATTGTTTGGTCCATAAATATTTAGGGGAAATAGTTTCTATACAATGCATTTATCAATAAACAAAGAAACATGGACAATTTTGCTAGACCACTTACTGTACTATAAACACGAAGCTCAATATATAAGATTATTGAATTTATCAACTATATTTGAAAGAGTGCACAACTGCTTTCTATGACATGTTTGTCCCCTCTAACAGGATACACCATAAAAAGAGTTTCAGAAATAAGAGGTAAAACAGTACAAAACTAGTGAGGTGTCAAAAGGGCTTAAAACAGTTAATTTAACAAACAACACATATAATCCTGATTTTTCACAAACTTACTTCCAAGTTATATCATAAGGCACATAGGAGAACTGAGTTATAATTAGTCTACTTAATAAAGTAGATCTATAGTACCATATATTGTTCTGTCAAAGAACAAAATTTATAAGTATCAATATTTTACCTGTAAAAGTGTATTAATAAGATCTCAGCCTTACCAAGGTTGTTTGGTCTGGTTAGTGGTAAATGCCCAAAATGTAATAGAAATATGAAAAGTCAAGATTTAAGCTCCATATAAGATGATAACCACACTTGCTAAATATATAATGGCAATCACACCTTTCTTCTGTTACAGTGTTAACTTATCTTCCATCATCTTTTTTTAAAAAATAAGCTACTTTCTGTGCTAATTTTCTAAAGACCCTGAGCAAAAGTTACAATAATGCACTTTAATGTGGGCAGTGAACTGTCAATATGTAACCACACATTTATACAGCCAGAAGGACACCTTTAAAATCTATTAAACAGCCACTCAGACCACCAGAGGAGATTTAAGGGGTCCAAAAAAGTGGAAAATATGTGCAAAGTTATTCTTAACAATCCACTAAAGCAAGACATATATCTTGACTTCTTTTTTATTTTTTTAGGAAATCCACAATCTAATTGGTATTTAACTACAACAGAAGCATATAGATGAACATTCACCACTGCCCAGACCATTAAGATTTTACCTTAAATTAAAAGAAAAAAAAAGCTACTGTAAACTAGGAAATATATTCAGATCAGCATCCACAAGGCTTCTGAGTTTATCTACTTTAAGACTACTAATTTCAAATCTCTAATGCCAGAAAAGTTTGTGTGTGTGTGTGTGTGTGTGTAAGATACATTAATCAAACTATGCAAAAATAAAATAAAGCAAAACAAAACCAAAGAATTCTCATTGTTGGTGTTAAGTTTACTGAGTTTTTTTTTAAAGCATTATTCATAAACAATGCCAGATACAATATCATGGTACAACTGAAGCCAATTAATAGAGATATTAATTAAATCATACCAACTTTTTGACTTCTTAAAAAATCATATTTTGCTTATTTCCATTTTCCCTAGGAAAAAGGTAAGGTAGAAAGAATATTTTCAGAGTTGTGTTTGCTGTCGTCAGTTGATTTTTCTTTTAGCTTTTGGAGATCAAAAGTATAGAATTTCAAATTCTATGTGGAATTTTTATAGGAGTTTTACAGGGAGTTTAAGTATTTTTTAAATATTGAAGAAACAAAGAATTAAGTAAGAAGGTTTTTAGGTTGTACATCCCTACAAGAAGGAAAAGTCACATTTGTGGAGTAATTTCCCACCTAACTAATCAATGCTATTTAAAATTGTTCTTATTAATGCTTTTGCTTAATCATATTCCTTATTTGAATCAAGAGTTCAAGTAAGAAATAGCAATACTCAATACATTCTTTCAGTTATAAAATTTTAAAAATGTCAAGTTTTCAAAATTTCATAATCACATATACAATTGCAAGATTTAAAAAATAGCTAATTAATTACCTGGTTCATTATTAACCTAATCACTTAAGCAGGAATATGATTATTTACCCACATAATATCACTCTTAACTTTTTTCTTCGAGATTCTGGAAATAAGTAACATACAATTTTAAGAGGCACTTATTAGAATGATTCAAAAGCTCCCCTTACCAATTGAAAGACCTAATTGCTTAAAGGAAAAAAAAAATTCCAAATACACTTTGTAGACAAAATATGTTCACTTAAAGGAGACAATACTGTAAACTCATTTGCCAAGTGGCTGCAGATGCTACACACCAAGCTGTTATTTTTATTCCCCAAATATTTTGTGGATTAGAAGGAAGAAAAAAAAAGGGCTTGTAAATAATAAAATAATAATAATTAGAAGAAGAAGAAGAAGAAGAAGAAGAAGAAGAAGAAGAAGAAGAAGAAGAAGAAGAAGAAGAAGAAGAAGAAGAGGAAGAATTTAAAAAGAAAAAAAAAACCAATGTTAGAAAAGGTTCGTTAAGGTAGTTTGTGAGGGGCTTCCGGATTCGTGGCTGTCCATGTTAGAGGTCACAGATGTCACTACAGTGATAGTGGGATTGGTCAGGTCTGTTAAAGTGGTCGCAGTGCCGGGTGGAGTGAGAGCGCCGCTGTCTGCTGAGGGCGGGGCCGGAAGCGACGTGCCATCAGCTTTATCAACACCCCCATTCTCCTGCCGCAAAAGGTTCCTTCTGAATTTGGCTCGTGCGTTTTGGAACCAAACCTGCAAACCAATCCCAATTGATTTCTTTACCGATGTTTATTTTTATATATTTTTTTTCTCTCTCTCTCTCTCTTCCTTTCTCTCCTTTTTTTTTTTAACTTTTATCTTTTATCTCTTTTTTTTTTCCTGATATATTTCTTTTAAATATAATTGTTTATTTTTCTTGAGAGGGAAGGGGTGCTTTCTCATTTTTTTCCTCATTCTTTCATAACATAGTAACTCAAGTAATACTATATAGATTTGTTCTCTCTACTGCATGTGTCCCCTCCCAGCATTAACCAATGCCACTTGGGACAACTGATGCTCACATGGAGATACCATGAAATGAAAGCACAGAGATAAATCAGGGAAGATATGCCCTCATTCCTCGCCTGTTGTCTTATGAGAACGAGGAGAAGCAGGTCGGCTAAAACTACTGCAAAGTAAGAACCACTCATAGGAAGTGAACGTCATTTGAAATAGAGTTTAAGATATCCCTGAGTCCGACACCCAGTAAGTATTTTTCACATAGGAAAAACTCTTCCAGGGCCACAGACCCCAAATAGCCAGAGACTACAGTACCAGAATTAAAACTGTCTGCTATTCATCACTGAGAAATGAGAGAAGATCACAGGAGACTCACGGCAACCCATTATAATATCATAGCCTTATATTCTTACCATGATGAATTTGAGGAAGCGATTGGACAGCAGAACTAACTCCCACTTTTTAATAATGGTTTGTTAAAGTGAAAAAAAAAATATTTGCTCCAATATTTGCTGAGATACTAGCATAACTTTTAGCTTTGGGGCAGTTGGGGGGAAAGCCTGCCTGAATTTGGAAAGTCGTAATGTGAGAGAGGCTGCCAAGAACTCAATGGAGTAGGACAGTGCTAGCAGATCCCTCACAAATCAGCGCACTGAGCCTAACATGAATGGAAATCTCCAGAGTCATGTCTTGTGCAAATGACAACACTTGCATTTGCACAGGAGTGAGGCAAGCTGAGCTGGTTTTGGAGACCCATCTCCCTATCTGTAGGGAGAACGTGGTTGCATCTTGTAAGACCCTGGATCTCTCTGAGTACCCTCCAGGAAGCCCCTGCAAGTCTCAGTTTACCCTCTAGGGAAATAACTAAGATAAACTAAGAAGAAGCAGAATAGGAAATAGCCACATCAAGCCAAGCGGGGAAGAGAACTATTTACTGGCAAGGGGATGGGAGATGTATGCACAGCCAATGATGGAGGTGTCTTACCTGCAAAACTCTTTTGGTCAGGCCTGTTTTCTGAGCAAGTTGCTTGAGGTCCTTGGCATCCGGATTATGGTTGATGGCAAAGTAGGATTTCATGGTCCGGAGCTGGTGGTGCTTGAAGGAAGTTCGCATGCGCTTGGTCTTCTGAGAGGGTGGATAAGGCTGCTGGTCCCGGTCCAAGTGGTCTGCCTCATTCTCATTACAACCTGTTACAGTAACAGGGGAAAACAACTACTCAGTGGAAACTCCTGCATTAATGGAAATGACGGTGGGCTAATGACACTGTTATGATAATAAAGTGACAGAGAAAATGGCTGTCAACTCAATTATGAACAATCTCTAGACAAAAAGAAAGAACTTAATTGCTACCAACAGCCAAACTTGTCTGTTGACGTGGACAAAATAAAAATTTACCTAAGAGGAAAAAATATTAGATAAATCCTCCCTTTTGCTTGATGGTTGGTAAAAATCTTTGGGGAAATGAATAAACCCTAAGTAGGGCACAGGAGAGAGAGACAAGAGCAAAGGGAAGAAACATATTTACATATACCAGCACCCCACTGCCCATATCTATATCTTCAAGACTGGACAATTTGAGACTCTACATTTTTTGTTTGTTTCTGCAAAGACATGTAATTATGTGAAGGCACAGCTTTTTATCAGAAAAGACATGGAAAACAAGTATTTCACCCCTCAAGTTTGAAGTTTTCTGAGAACCCACCAACTAAGGAAGAATTTAAGTCACTTATAATTTTTAACATTTTTCATATTCCTAGAGCTTTCTAAATGAGGAAGAGGAAAGTGGTTAAAAAATGGGGAGATGTTAGAAAATAAATATTTGCAAACTTCTTATGTAATCCTAAGAATATTATGTTGGAGGGCTTTCACCCATAACTGATTAGCATAAAGCTATGCCAGGAAGAAAATACTGTTCCCTTGGAGTTATTCTAATAAATATTTCTGAAAGAAAATGAGCCCAGACTTCTCCTCACTCAGTTTATGCCTGAAGCATGCCCCACAGCTCACAGCTGAGAGGCACTGATGGTGCGTATTTCCAGTCTCACGTCTTGGTTCCTTTTGCTCTGGATGTGTGTGTGTGGGATGCGATGTGTACCACTGGCTGGGCTGGCAGAGAGAGGGTGGCATCTTCTCTTCCCTTGGAAAGCTCTTTTGGACACCAAGGGCAAAACAAATCAGTCTTTGAAACCAGCTAAAAAGTCATCATTCCCAGGATGTAAAGCTGCACATTTAAAAGGTCATTCCAAAAACCTGCTGGCTCTGTATAGGAAATACGACTGCAGAATGAAAACTTTTTGCTAAATATTTGCAGATTCAGCCAAATTTGCAAATTCAAGCACATGGTAATTTTTTTCTTTAAGCCCTTATTTCATGTATGTATCTGATACATATTCAAATTTCATCATTCTGCATTTTAATGCATTATTTTAAAATCAACCTGGTCATGTCACTCAGAAGAGAAAAAAAAAATGAAAGGGGGTGGGGAGTACCAGTATCCTTCCAAAAATCTCCAGTACCCACAAAAACAAACAAAAAAAGTGAGGCATCTCTTAATACTAGTTTTTTTTTTTCCTTCAGCTTACCAAAATGTTATCTGCCTGCTTGCTCTGGTTAGAACTACTTTTTTAAACAATATCTAGCACATTTGAAAATATCAAGTTGAACAGTCATCAACAGAGACCAGCTGCGTACAAATCTCGTTTGACAAGAAATTATCCCTGATGTAATAAGACTAAGCAGGAACTAATGTCTCCTAGGCTTGTATTTCCATGAGATATATACATGGGAAGACACACTCTGCAAAGCACAGGTGAGTTCTTTTTGGGAAAAGACTGTATCACATTCACTTCTGGAACTCCCGAGTCACACAGTGGGATAGAAACTCAACAAGATTCAATCAAAATTTAAAATGCTTTGTTCATCAATAAAATTACAAGCAAATGCAAAATCAAAATTATCTGGAAGGAATCCAAATCCAATATATACATTCAAATGTAAAACATAAACTTCTTAAGCCTGCCAGAAATGGTAACATATACCCAGAGATAGCAGAGAGAATATACTTTACATTTTACCCTATTTCAGCCCAGTGGGGATATGTCAGGTTCAAATAGTCTATAGAATTGTACCTTTATATCCTCAAATGGATGAAACAGCAACTCATGACCTACTATAAAACCATACTTATCTCCAGTAAACTGAACCATATTTCACAGCCAGATTATAAATGTACCCACAACAAAATGGACAAAGAGGAACACAATATCATCCATGGCTTCTTCAAATAAGAATTTCATTCCTATCGTAAGTGAGTAACTTTTCCTGAATGACACATCAAATTGAAAATTACACTTGGGACAGAAGCCTTAACTTAAATAATTCCCTTATCCATTCCTCCTCCAACATGGTAATATTTCTTAGAAACAAATATGATTCCCAGTTTAGCTATATAATCACTAGTCTTTAAAATGAATTTTATTAAAAATAATTGCAGTAATATTTGATGAAATTGCTTTCCTGAATATGTACTCTGTGTCCATTATTGCTGATTTAAAACTCAACAGAGCATTTTAGTGCATTAATTATAATTGTAGAGCTTGTTTTCACATGAAATATACAATTCAGGGTATAAAAAAGATAGGTTGTCAGGTCTTTCTTCAACAGATATTACTACATACAACTTTCATATGACTATGTTTTCACTTACATATACAACTTAATAGAGCAATATATTTTTCCACGGAGTAATTCAGTTCATTTTCATAAATTATTTGCATTTAACTACAAATATATTATGTAAACTTGCAAATGATTGTGTTCCCCCCATAGCCTGTTTCTAAAGTTTTAGGGGTATTTTCCTCTCTGGATTAAAAATTGTCTCAAACTTCTACCTGTAAATACACATCCAGAATTGCTAACATTAATGAGAAGATATAAATATTTTATTTTCAGTCACTTATGAGATGGTCACTTACATCAAGTAAGTTTATGTTCTTCTGAAGGTTTGTAGCCTTCTGAGAATTAACTGATTCCTGAGAGACCACTAGGGGTCAGTGCCAGGCTAATTTAACAACAATCGGGAACTTCAGAAGTTTAGGTAGAAAGAACCTAAGGAAAAAAGGTTCTAAGGAGTGGCCAAGAAATGAGTCTCCTCATTAATGATAAATTATCCAAACAGGACCTGTCTATCCTAAACTAATTCTTCTCACCCCTGGAGGGCTTTATTCCAATCCAGTTTTCCAGATAAATGTTCCATGTCTCCTTCGAAAATATCTGCCCAATTAATTTGCACAAAGAAGTATAAACTAAATTAGGAAAAGTCTCATTAAAAGGAATTTGCCTTATGTCAAGAACTAACTGACCTCTACAAGTTTCATATCTTCTTTAAGAATCTCTGAATGATAAATATGTTTTGCATACATATTTTTTAAAACATATCTCTAAATTATATTGCATTTCATATCAACGTTCCCCTAAATTAGGCTTGTTTATAATTAAGCAGAAATGGTGATCTAAAATTCAAAGGAGAATAAAATAGTGAATTAAAACTGTGGGTCCGTTTTATTTCCTACATTTTCACATAATTTTAACTTACTAAGGGATTTCTTTCCCTAGTTTTGTAACAAACTGGCACCAGATTCATAAATACTATTTTAAATTTTGTGTGTGGGGGGGGGTAATGTCTGATCAGGCATCTTAAAATTCCTCTAGGTTTATTTCTAACTAATTTTAACGAATGTATACTATTTACTCACATCTCTGGGGAAACGTCCAGTAAGGATGGAGTGGATATAGTTGAGTGAGTGATGCACAAACGCTTCAGGTTAGTGGGTCTGAGCAACTTTTCTCTTTCATGAGTAAGACTATCAACTTTCTCAACAATGTATAGCAGCACTAATTTGCAAACTAAAGATCTAAGTAGTTCAGAAAGAGGTTTTTCGTTCTTCTTAGGAAATGTATATGTATTCTAATTCTCTTCAGAGAAGTAAGAGAAGCTAAATTCTATTGTTCCTAAAGTTTCTCGGATCTTTCAACATAAAGTAAGATTCAAGGCAAAATCAAATTTAGCTAATTAGATTAAATAAACTAGAGAAAAGCCAGACTTGCCCACAGTTTAGCTAGAAATCTCCACCCTTCTGGACTTTTATCAGGCTGAGAGATTTCCTCTGTCCAAGGGACCAGCTAGTTATGTATGAGTCCATCTCTCTCTCCTCTCGCTGCCCCCCACCGCCCCACCACCCCACTGCCTCTCTCTCTCTCTCTAATTAGGGCATTAAGGCCTTGGTGAGTGGCTTGAGATTCCAATGTCATCTTCAATTAATAAAGAACAATTAGTGCCTTGCCTGTCCTGCCCCAGGGACCACGCATCAAAGGACATGAAGTGTGTGCACCAGGCAAAGTGGCCCCTAACCAAAACCTCTGCCCCAGCGCAGCAGGGGCCAGAACAAGGGTGCGGTGGGCTGTGTCTGCCAAAGATTGCCGAAACCTAGTTCTATGCCCACATTCCTCATGCAAAACAACCTTGGTGAAAAGAGTCCCAGGAGACTGCCAGCCCTTTTGCCTTGGTCCACAGACCCACTGTCCTGCTAGGGACAAAAGCAGCTTGGATGGGCTCTGCATTCCCATTATCCCTGAGATGACACCCACTGCACCTGCCCAAAAGCATTTCTCCTCTGCATTTGGGAGGGGAACCCCAAGAGAGAAGCTAGGAGAGGGCTGAAAGAGTGCCTGCTAATCCCATGTGGCTTCCTCTGGAAACTCTCCTAGTTCCCATGTTCACACTGGCTGTGTGACCTTAAACAAACCACCTAACTGGCTGAGCATCATTCCTTTATCATTAAGCAACAACATCAAGCATCACACCAGATATAAGGGCTGGAAGAGAAAAAGCACGTGTGATTTTGCTTCATGGTTTGCCAGGGTATCTGGGGTGGTCATGATTATGGAGTTGCCACAGTTAGGTGGTTCCCAAGATTCCTCTCAGGAGAATGGTTTCCCCTGGTCTGAGACTCCTGCTTGCCATGATTCCCAGACAGGTTTGGGCCTGGGCCAGGGCCAGGGTCAAGGCAAAGCAAAGTCAGAGAGTCAAGGTCCTTAAACTCCCCCAAACTGAGCCAGGACTTTCTGGAATCCCTTTTCCCAGCATTTGGGACTCACCAGAGGAACTTCTGTGATACTCAGTGTAAGATAATGGTCTTCCAGTCCTGTCAATAGAGTCACCTGGGGGATGGAGGATGGGGAAAGGCTACCAAAAATGGGAAACTGATGTATGTGTGTGAGACAGACTGATAAATGATAGGCATGCCCCTAAAGCAAGGAGGAAAGTGTGCTCTCAGCCTGTTGCCTGCACTTTGTTTTTAATTAAGAGAGGGGGGCTGGTGAAGAACAAAAGAGCAGCCTGAGATACTACTAAGCCTCCCCAGTGGGCCTGCCCTGGAGCTTCTTTCCTTTGGCTGGGATCTGGGGTCTGGATATCTGGATGGTCTATCACACAGGGAATGAGTAGGCTGGATGAATACCCTGACCTACCAGAGGCTCAGGCCAGCTCAGCCGTGGAGAGTGCTTCCTACCCCTACAGCTGCTTTTTGCCAAAATCAGGGATTCAGTTTTTCAACACTTGCCAATTGTGTTGCTGATTAAGTTTGGGCTGGTGACCACAGCCTCTGCCCCCTCTAGACAGACTGGGGTTAGGCTCTGAAGTTTTGGGTCCCCCCCCCCTTCAGTATTTAAGAAAACCTCATCCAGGATCTATAATTTGGCTTCCACAAAGGAATTGCCTTGGGGCTGTTTTGCTCCAACTGGGAGCCAGAAACTAATGGGCTCATTAACTAATGGGCAACAAGGATTTGGCTCTGCCTGTTTGGGGGAAATCACTATAGCCCCATAGTTATAAATGTTTTTTTTTTTTTTTTGCTGCAACCTTAATAAAGTGTTGTCTCTCCTCTCCCACTCCTTTCCTCTTCCTTCCTCCTTCCTCTCTCCCTTTTTCTCTTCCTTCAGATTGAGAGGAAGTTGTATTGAGAACATGGGTATTTTGGACAAAGTACCCTCTTTGCAGGCAGATCTTGAAAAGGGAAGGGGCCTTATTGAATCCTCCTGACAACCTGGTGACCAGAGCTTCATTGTGTAAGGATGCCTGCCCACCTGAGTTGTAATTGACGATGTCTACTCCCAGCGCTGGGCTCTTCCTCTTCCGAGGCCGCCCCTTCTGCACCGTGCCGGTGCCATTGAAGTAAGGCAGGGCCAAGCCGCCACTCTTGGCCGCCAGCTCCGTGTAGCTCATCTGTGGAGGATACTCCCCTTGCAAGAGGGTCTCGAAGTGGGCGCGGCAGTACACCAGGCTGTCCTTCATGCCGAAATGGTCGCCTGTGGTCAGAGTCTTGTTGCAGGTAGAACAGGTGAAGCAGCTCAGGTGGTAGACAGAGTCTCGGGCACGCATGACCATCTCAGAGGCAGAAATGCCAAGGTGGCAGCGGGCACATCTCTGCACAGAGAACCTTCTGGAAGGAAACAGAGGGGTCAGGGTACTTGTTGAACTAAGGACAAGCCACTTCCACATGCAATACCTGGGTTTGGCTGCAGTAGTCAAAGACTGAGATTTGGGAGGGCTCTAGTAGGACAAGTCACTGGGCCCACTTTCGACATCAATTTATTTGCTCATTGACCTGTTCTAGTTCTGGTGAACCAGGACAAAGATCCATATATTAAAGTCAGAAAATTGGGTACTAAGCTTCAGTTTCTTTCTCTGCATCTAAAGAGAGAGAGAGAGAGCAAACAAAAACCTGCAGTAGCTAGTTCACAGCACTATTGAAAGAATATTAAATTGCAAATCCAAGTGAACAGCTTCATTGACTACAAAATAGTCTTGAATGAAGGTATTATTATTATGCCTGCACATTTGAGCATGCCTGAAAACATACAGCCAGCCTCGGGAAATGACAATTTTGTAGAGAAAGGTTATTCTTCTTTAACCGCCTCCCATCTGCTAAGCGCTGAGCTAGGTCACCTATACATAGTTCTGTCTTTTCCAATCCAGAAACAACTAGAAAGAATCAATAAACATGCCTGATGCTGAATTTTCTCTCTAGTCTAGTGTTAACTAGCCGTAAAGGGAACTCGGCAACTGAATGACTTGGGTTTTGGCAGTGGGATTTATTCCTTTTCATAGTCATTTACAAGGTCATCTGCCACCCATCCGATTGCTGCTTCCCGGGCCACCAGTTCAGTTCCAAGGCACCAAGTTACTCAGTTTGTAGTAAGCGGGAAAAAAATCGAAAACAACAACAAATAAACAAAAAAACAAAACCACTCAAGTCTCAGATAATTAACTGAGACCAGCCCATTTACTCTAACCCAGATTTCACCCTGTTCTGTCAACAGATCTGGGAAGAGAAGGGAGTGCATGGTAGTCACTGATAACTGCTCTAGCTAGACCTTAGGTGTCTATTGTCATCCATCCTCACCAGACATCCAGGGGAGTGCAGCTTGAAGGCATGTGCTGTAAATTCCCCCAGGTCTGGAGAATGATAACAGTACCCTGAAGGGGCAAAATGTGGAGGATGAAGAGGGGACTCCAGAATCGGGCAGGTGCCCCCGCCCCCGCCAGGAAGGTGTACGTGCGGGGAGTACCTGTAGTAATCCTCCTTGCAGTAAATGCTACCGTCCTTGGCGAAGCAGGTGAGCTCAGATTCCAGAGCTAGCTTACATTCACAGCACTTCAGGCACCTCAGGTGCCACTGTTTGTCCACGGCCAGTAGGTAGTACCTGTCCGAGATCTTGCCCCCGCAGCCAGCACACAAAGCCGGCTTCTCGGGGCTGAGAGGGGGCATGCCCTGCAAAGCAAGCACACACAAGGCTGAGGAGAACGCCTGGCGTCGCCGCACCATGCGGGATTCCCCGCTAGGCTGCGCGAATCCAGGGCGCAAGCTGAGTGCCGGAGAGAGGCTAGGGTCAGGGGCCACAGCTCAAAGGCAAAAGTCGGGAAAAACATTTGCAATTTCTATCTTTGCGGCTCAGTTATCTTCCAAGTTGGCATGAACTGGCATCGGCGCGTCCTCGTACTATTACAAAACTAAAGACATACCAACCATCCCAATCCTAGCTTTAAAAGAACGAAGAGCCTATTTACTATAGTTTGGTGAGTGTTGTCAAATTAGAGATAATTACAAACTTCAAATTGTGGCTTTCGAAAATACAAAAAAATCAAACGGAACTTGTAATTAGGAAGTGAAAAAGAAATTTAAACTCGCACAGATTGTATTTGCACAAAACAATAATATTGCTATTCGGTTTCTCTAAATTTGTACAGACAAAACATTGAAATCAAAAGCCAGGGAGAGAATATAATACCCGTGCTGTTAAATTAGTCAGCTTTGTTTGGGTTGGGATATATTTAGCAGATCCTACTGTTTCTCCATTTTCAGAATGTTTGGTCCTGTTCCTGCTAAGAGTGTGAAGTGACTGTTCCTAAAGAAGGACCAATGTCCAGATTCCTATACACAACTCCTCTTTCCCTGGCATCAGCATAAACACAAGAGAACTTTGTCCTGAAAATCTGGTGCTCAAATTAAGCTTCCCACCTGGATCCTAACTCAGATAACCAAGAGGTTAAGCTCACCTTGAGGAGCCCAGCCTCGGGTTTGGTTACTGCTTTTTAGTTTTAAATAGAATAACCACAGAAGGAAACAAAGAGTTATATCTGGATCGTTCCCTCAATATTAGCAGAAATGAATTGGACTTCCACACTATATTTTGCCCGACGTGGAAAAATAAAGTTTCCCCCTTTACTCCAATTAGGGGACCACGCTGAGTTAGTGTTGCAAATGTAGACAAATGCACACACTGTATTTGATGCGACCCAAAACACCACTGGCCGGGCATGAGCAGTCAGTCTCCTGGGGAAGTTTTAGCTACAATTCTCCGTGTGATACAAGAAGGTCTACACAGCACAGTTTGGCTGGAATCATTTCCGGAGACTTCCAGTTAAGTTTTCTTTCTCCAGGTTTATAAATGGGAAAGGAAAACATTTAGATTACTGGTATTTTTTAAGAGAACATGACTTTCATTATTACCAATAATAATAACAGTGGTATTTGATTACTTCGTTTAAGGGTTAGAAAATTCTTGCTTTTGGACTGGGTGCCTCGCTCCTCATCATTTTTAAAGTTTCCCCTACACACGTCACCCGCCCAGCCCGGGAACCAAACGCAGTTCTGCATGGATAGAGGAACTGAGCCGGGATGCCGAAGACAAAAATCTCTGGGTTTGGGGTGCCAAACCCTGAGAGTACTGACAATTGGAAATGGACCGGTCGCTTCTGAGTATACTCCAAAGGCCCGGTCTTCTGGTCCAGAGACTAAGCTCACCCGGGCTCCTTCTTGGCTGGGACGCCTGGGCAGCAAGCGGTCTGACTACTGCCTGCGCCGTTTGCCCTCGGGGCTGCGGGATCCTCGCTGGGGAGGCGCCCGGGAATTCGGGGAGACTAGAGAAAGGAGTTGGTAGATTGCAGAAGAGGACGCCCCTCTCTTTCCACTCCTGACCGCCCTACTTGCTCGGGAACAACTGCGACAGAGGGAAATGAGCTTGGGGTTTAGTAGTAAAGGCATTTCAAGTCAGAATGGGAACTTTTCTTATCCCGGCAGAGCTAGGTAGACCGGCGAAAACCCAGAGATCTTCAACGAAACGTCCCTACGACGCACCATTCCCAATCTCGCCAGGCCAGGGAATGGAAGTTCGTTTTAACCGAGCGCGCAGGGGCGCTCGGCTACCGCCAGCGAGGGGCAGTTTCTTACCGCGTCGCGGCCGTTGAGCTGAGTGCCTTTAGCCAGACGGGCCTCGGTCTTGGATCTGCGCTCCATCTCCTCCATAATGCCTTGGATGTGGCCTCCGGAGATCCCGTGGAAGAGCATGGCTGGGGGGCGGAAAGGACACGAATTGTCTTCTGCTCGGCACCCCACTATTTCCATAAACACACACCCGGGGTTCTCAGCTCATCCGAGTGCTGGGGCAAAAGGGACCGCAGAGGGCTGCGCGATGTTGGAACGCAGAGGCGCGCGGGGACAGAGGGCAAGAGGCAGAGAGCAAAGAAGAAAGAGTCAGACAAAGTGAAAATAGGCCTACTTGCAGAGGGAAAGAGGGGGGAAAAATAGGCGGGGTGGGGGGACTCTGGCGTCTCCCTGAAGGAGATGTGCAGAAAACAAACAAACACGGGCGGAGGGGAAAGGCGAAGGCGAATCTTACTGCTACGAGAGATCGAGTTACTAATGGGAAACAACTGCGGGGGGGGGGGAGGAAAACAAAAATCTGGTGAAGAAAGAAAATAGTTTTGAACACAAAGAAAGAAGACGAAGTGCTATTTTCAGCGGTCCCTGGCTGCTTGCAAGTTCCCAGTGCCTGTAGGTTGGGTTGGGGACTGCTCCTGCCGGAGCTGTGTCCAATTTGTTAAGAGACTAAAGCCAGCCCATTTTTGATAATTTAGTAGGAGGAGTTCTCTCCCTGGAGCTGCCACGGATTTTTATTCAGACAACAAAGACCTGTCATACTCCTCTCAACCCCCTGGTGATGGGCAAGCAGGGACAAACATTACAAAGGGGTGGGGGGATGGGGCAGTAGGAGGGGGGCATTTACCTCCCTATAACACTCGCGTGCGCCCGGACACACACACACACACACACACACACACACAACCACATATCGTTCCAAGAGTTCTCAGTAGTCGTGTTTTAAAGAGGAAAGGAGTCCTTGTTTTAAAAGGGGGAAAGGAGCTGTTATTGTCCCCGTCCTGACTCAGGAGGCAGAGAGTCGGCCTATTTGATCCCAGTTCAAGATCGTACCCCAGCTCAGGGCACACAGAAAACCAGCTCAAAACTTTGGGTTTCCTTCTTGTGAACTTCATCCCCAGTCTACAAAACTGTCAATATATAAAGATTAGGCAGGAATTCGAGCCCCTCACTGGGGTGGAGAATTTAGTGCATGTTTCTTTTCTTCCCAACCCCTCTGTCCTCAGCTCATCTTTTAGAAGCAGTTGTCTGATAGTTCATCTCTTTGCCTCACCTTCCTGGGAGACCCGACACTACCAGGCACTGGCGCGTCCTCCAAAGTGAAAAGGCGCTTAGAGAATCTTTCTGGAGTTTACTTTCGGCAAAATATATATATAATTTTTCTTTGATAAATTAGAGTGTATGGGACAGGGCATAAACTTGTACACTCGGGTATACAGGATGATTTACTCTCTTACTCAAGGTCTGAAGGAAAACTGCTGAGATTCTAATGTCCCATTTGAATCTTGTCATCGTGGGCAGGACTCTGGCGAGCTGGGCGCCTGCTCCGGTAGAACTGCGCGCCGGCCCCTGTGCGTGCTGTTCCCACTACCCTCGCAAGACAGGGCACTTGTAAAACTGGGCGCACCGCACACTCCGGAGGGTGTGAAAGGGACTCCTTGCTGTGGAGGAGGGGAAGGTGAGAACTGACAAGCAGAATGGCAGACCTGCTCCTCACAAGAGGTGGGATTGTTCTGTCGCTCTCTGTTCCTGTTGGCGGCGGCCCCTCCCCGGCCCCATTAAAAAGTGTCCACAATACTCATATATTGTCGATTCATTCAAAAGGCTAGAGGCTCCTCAGGGGCCCGAAGCGGGGCTCGGCGACAGGAACCAACCCCGCCTTAACCAGAGAAGGGAGCCCCGCCGCTCTTCGCTCCTTGGGTCCCTGTAGCTAGCCTGGGTTTCCCACCACTCCCCGCCAACTTGCCCAGGAACATCGGAGCTTAGTCTTGGGCACATTTTGGAGATTTTAGAAGAGCCAACCGCTTCCATTCCATCACCCTGGGAAGCCCGACATAGACTGTAGCCAAATCAAGAAAGATTAAGGGAGAGAAGTAGAAAGGAAAAGGGGAAGAGAGGAAGAAAGAAAAAGCAAGCATGAGAATGAGAGAGAAAGGAAGAGGAGGAGGGAAACAAAGGAAAGAAGGAAAGATGGAAGAGAGGAAGGAAGGAGAAGAAAGGAAGGAAGGAATGGAGAAGAGGAGGAAAACACCCTCAGCAGCACCCTGACTTCCTGTCCCAACGAACCGCCATCTGAGACTGCTGGAGTTACCTCTTCCATGAAATCCAAGACTCTGTTGCTTCCCTTCGGTTTTTTTTCTCAGGGTCCAAAATAATGTTATTTGCAGATTGGACACTTTTAAGGTCCTCTGGGTGCCAGAATACAGCTCATAAAACACAATTTCACACAAAAAATGAAGCCAATCAAGTGAACTAAGCTGGAGACACCCCCTTACTTTGGCAGCCCTACCTGACAGCAGGGCGGCTATTTACTGTAAGTAATGTAATTAGCCCCTTTGGATGGAAATCAATGAGCTTTTCAAACCCACGTGCACACAGGAAGGGCCCCCAAGGAGGGGCTGGGCGCAGGAGCCCTTTCAGAGACAGCAGGTCCACTCACAAAGGGGCAGATTGCCTTACAAAAGTCAGCAGCTAAACTGACTGAGAACCTGAGAAGGAGGAGAAAGAGGAGGGGTCTATCAGAAGAAGAACATTCAATTAACCCATGGAATCTCCAAACAAAGTAAATGCAGAACCTCAACCCACTCTGTCTAGCTTCTGCACTAAATCCCTCCCCATTCGAAATAAGAGTAGTTGGAAATAGGTTTGGTTATTGTTGGATTTTGGTCCTGCTCAGCAAGAACATTAAAAAAGAAACACCAAGGCACTCTTGTAAGAGACAAACTTTGAAGACTTCATGAGGGAAAAGCTTAACAACTCCTGGGAAAAAAAAAAAAAAGTCAGAACTTTGTGAAATTTCCAGGGAGGCCAAACATAGAAGTCCTGCAAGCCCTCCAATCATCCACTCATTCATCTATTCAACACATATATTTAAAACATGTATTAGTTACAGGCAGGGCAGAGCACCTCCAGCAAGCAGCTTCACAGTTGAATCCTAGGTATGATGGCTCTTTCTTGTAAAACTCAGGTTGTATGTTCCAGCGCCCAGTGGGATTTGCTACTTCCCATAAAGAAGGGAACTGCCAGGATTCTTCCTGTTCAGTGAATGCAGGAAGTCTGTGGAAAGCTGGGGGTGAGGCAGGGATCTGTTGGAGTTTGGGAGGTCCTTGTTAGTTCTGTGGAACCACTGGCAGTTGCTGGAGAAGAAGCCCAAGGGAGTTGGAGGTTGGCCTACTAATTGAAGTAGGTGTGTCACCTGGAGTATCCTAACATTTTTGTCTAGGAACCCTGAGATTGTTTGAGAGCCCTTCCCTTTCCCTCTCCACTCTCAAAGGACACTGAGCATTTAAATAAGGAGAGCATCTTTGTAGCTTTGCACCCTTTTACCCCTCAATCAGGAGGCTGAGACTGGCAGCAGCTGGGGAGGAAGCATTCCCCCTTTTCACAGCTCAGGAACTGAATGGCCGGCAAGTGTTCTATAAAAGTTAGAGTGCTAGATTTTATCATTTCTTGGGCTAAAACCCCACCTCCAGCAATGGGACAGGTGCACTCAGGTTCTGTCTGGCCCATATCCCCAATAGGATTTCGAGTCTCCTCTCTGAGTTCTAACCACTATTACAAGGAATGGGGTAGATCCCTAGCCTGGCGCTGTCCTCTCACTATTGGACATCCCCAATCCACTAGGTTCTTTTTCCTTTCTTCTCCCATCTGATTAATGCTCCCACATTCAGGAAAATGAGAGGCTGGGCTCAAGTGAGACAGCAGATTTTGAATTAATTCTAGATTCTAGAATTTCCATTAAGGTCAACAAAACTAGGGCACACTTGTCCTGGGCTCTGGCAATCCCACCTGGGAAAAGAGTCCCGATAGAGTCGAACTCCCCAGAGGGGAGAAGAGAAGTAAAAAAGGATGTATGGGTTTGTCCTGGGAGAAGATGAGGTTTTAGGGTTGAGGAAGGAAAATAACTCAGTAAACATGCATCTGAGAGCATAGTTGACTCAGGTCTCTTTAGACCTGAATTTGGAGACAATGATCCTGTGTTCCTAAGTTTGAACAAAAAAGGGAAGTGCCACCTTTCCCCCAGATTCTATTAAGAGCCCTTCTGCTCTGAAAGGTGAAACTCTTGAAATCCTGTCCCGCCTTTAGCATTGTCGGGAGTACCTCAAGGGCCTCGAGAAGTCAGCGTCTTATTGAGGGCAGAAACTATGCTGAGCGTAGTGCCACGCGGCCTCAGAAGCCCCGACGACTGCTCTGTGTTGGAAGAGAGCAGATGGCCTGGAGGTGCCCGGGCCTCTCTCTCCAGAGTGGAGACAGAGATTCCTCTACGTGCAAACCTTCCTCAGACCAAGGTTGGCAGATCCCGACTGGTGCTGCCTCCCAGGTGCCCCTCTGATTCAGTCCTGCTAGAGTAGCCTTGGTCAAGAGAATGGGAGTGAATCAAGCAGAGCTGGCGCTGGAAGAGTTCCGCTACCTAGAGAGGGGAGCCCGCGGTCACAGCCCAGCGGCGCACCTTTGCGTGCTGCTAGCTCGGCTGGACTCCTGGGTCAGGACCCTCAGGTCTACACTCTCTGTGCCCATTCATGTCCTCAAAGCCACCCACCAGCTGCTTGCTCCCTTCAAATCTATGTCCTCCTTGGCCCCTGAGGCTTTTTTCCAACAGGGCTACTGCCAAAGCTAAAAATATTGCGCTTCTAGAATCGGAAGCCCTTTTACCTGAGATTTGTGGAGCCACCGGCTATCACCTTCCCCATTCCCCGGAAATAAAGGGGTAAATCCTACACTGCCTCCCTGGAGATGACGCGCAGAAACCGCTGCGTTGGAATAGGACTGAAAACAACAACAACAACAAAAAGGTGGGTGAAGCCAGTTTTCCACCCTACAAGGGTGGGAATGGGAGTCTTTCCAGCCCACCTCCCATCAGTTTGATCAAGGAGACGCCCCCAGCAGCTCAGCGGAGTATCGGGAGCGATCCCCTCACATCAGTGACTACTCGGGACTCTGTGGCACCGTGACCTCTGCCCGGCGCCCAGAACACCGGATCCTGAGGAAAATCAAAGACATTCATGAGAAAAGCAAAAGGAAGAAAACGCCGGTTCAGGATCCTGCCCTATCAGGACAGTGAACAAGGGTGTGTATTTTCGAGCCTCCAAACCCCAGTTTAATTTTTTTTTTTTAAAGCAAGCACACATTCTTCTTCGTTCCATTCAACAAGGCACGCTCACGCGCGTGCACACACACGCACACACGGTATACATGCCAGCCCAAGAAAAGGGCAGGGAAGATGAGAAGGAACCTGGCATATGAAAACTCACCTGCCTCTAGAGTAGTGCCGTTCAGCATTCTTAGAGCAAGAGGAGTTGATCACGCAGTTAAATGGTGGTTGCACTGGCAAGGGAAAGGGGGAAAAAAAAAGCCGTGCGTCAGCCGGGCAGCACCGCCTGGGTCCCCCAAGCACCTCCTCCCATCTGGTGGGCGCGTCGCAATCGCTGGTCCCGCCGGAGACCTCAAGTACGCGTCGACTTTGAGCAAAGCCGGACTTTTCTGGGATAGACTCCCGAGACCACCCTGGAGCTCCCGGCGGGCCCGGCGCACTCAAAG